TTCCTGCTGTTCTTTCACTAGTAGTAATACAATGTAAATCAACAAAAAGTCTGTAGAATTTTGGAAAAAGAAAGCATTGTGCATTCTTCTGGGTTTTATGATTTCTAATGTTATGAATTTCAATCCATAGTCTTTAACACACAAAGTTGAATAAGTATGCCTATAGTTTTAAACACTATTTTGTGTACCAAAATACAGCAGTCACATGAATAATCCCTCTTTAGGAATATCCTATCTATTACTTTTTGAAATGTGTTTACTCTAGAAAACTGAAACAGTGGCTTTAGAACCAGCATGCTTTCTCCTGCTAAAATGCAGACAACTCAGTTATGTAATACTGAAAAATATTTGCATCTAATCGGACCCAATCAAAAACATCTTTATTATCAATAAGTGAATCTTATTCTCTCCAAAAACAGGAAGGAGAAGAAACAAAGGAAGATACTTTTTTTTTTTTTTTTTCTAAACAGATTTTTTTTTTGGACTTGCCCCTTGTACACATTTACTTTCAGGCATAGTAACTATAACCGTTAGTGCTCGTGGAAAACTAACTTTTAACAAATGTTCACAGAACACTATCTTCACATCTATTTGTATAATTTGTTAAAACATATAAATCAACATTAAACTATTGTTTTATGTAGAGTATAATATATAGTATTGTTTTTGCAATACTATAATGAAAAGTGCTTTCTCTATGATAGTTTAAGAGAGGTGATGTGTAAGCTGCATTCAAATTTCTCAAAGTAACAGATCAGCCCCGCAGAGCCACTTTTGAAAAAGAGAGATAAACTGTGCCCACTCCTTCTAGCTTCCGTGTAAGTTAATGTTCATACATAAGCACACTTATGGGACGTGCAGGTTAATTTACTCTGACCTATGTTGACGTTCCCCCCTACTTCAACTCAGACATATGCAAAAATAACCCAGATTTCTCTTTCGGTTAGTTGCTTAAGGAGTGAAAACACGGTGAAGGTAGTTTTCTGGGGACCAATTACTTTTAACACAGGATATTTACAGGTTTGAACATAAAGTATTTTATTAGAGAAAATGTGAATTGAAAATTACTGTTTGGAGTCTACTATCATTAACAGTCACTGTTTCTGTTCAACTAAACATGCCCACAAAGAAGGTTGTAACTACATTTTATTGTGGAAATACCTGGTCTCCTACAAATGTTGGGTGAATTTCCATTGGGGCTTTATGCTGTATTTATGATATAATAAAACTATTATGTTTTCAACTTTCATTTAATAATCCTTTGTATTTATACACAGGGAACATACTCCCTTTTTTAAATGAAAGACGTCCCAGACACTCTCTGACTTTTATAAGTGCTTATTTTTCCATGACTGTATGATGTGTTTATACGTACAGTCATAAAAGATTGACTTAGGATTTCAAGTCCTTCAGGAGGATTTTTTTTCCTGTTCTTTTAGGTTTGGTGGGTTTTTTTACTATTTTTAAATGAAAAAAATAAAATAGTTCAGACTGAAGTATATTTTGTAGTGAAGTGCAAACATACACTCATTTTCTAACGAAAGTAAAATAAAGGACTTCCAGAAAAACAGCTTCTTTGGATGTTTTAATTCTGATATCAATAGCATTTATAGCTGTCGCTGTCAAACATTTAAAGTAGGTTTGTTTCCACTAAAAGTGTTTCGAAATGTTTATTGAAAAAGGATTCCCTTCCTTCCTCTCCACACCTAAACACGTAACACAGGTATCTAATTACACACATTTGTTCTGAATTTAAAAAATAATAGATGTAAAAGGTTTACATTCTGATATCCCTTATATTTTGCAATACCTTCTTCACACATAAAGCTACTGAAACAATGCTTAAAACCAGAGGAGGATACTACTCAACCTGCGTAAAAAGAATGTCAGAATCTAAAAGTGGTAACATTCCTAGAACAAATAAATGTTCTTTTCTAGAAAATTAAACATTACATATCAATATAAAAAAAATAATGCTCAGCATACACTTAATCATGAATTGCTGAAGGGAAACAATGCCTAAACCCAACAAATATGTCATGAGATTGGTGTTCAAACAATGAGAGCAGACATTACTAAATGACACACAAAAAGGTCAAAGAAACAACATATGGTTGAAAAGGCATCAACAAATTTGCAAACCATTTAAGAAAGTCTATTTTAATGCATCAGTTTAAATAAAACTAATGTTATAATGTATAGGATTTGTATGTTTTCCTTTAAATGCTTGCTTCCACTACTTGCTGAATAGAAAAACTGAATTATTAGAGGAGACAAACTACACAGTATTTTGCTTAATTATCACAAACATGTTCACCAACAAAGCCAAAAAACCAATAAGCCAAAACAAAACCTAGCTAGGGTTTCCATTTTGGAAGCAAAATTTTTTTGCCAGGATGTAGAGCATTTCTTGGATGCGTCTTTAATTTTTTCCCATTCTACAAACATTTCAGTCTACTTCTAATAGTAGTAGAAAATCATATACCTACAAATTGCTAGTTTGATAATTTCTTTCTTCCCTTATACTTCCCCTCCAATGTCCTGCTCCCAGTTCATCTATTTGCAGCAGCTTCTCAGAACTCCCTCATATAGGTATTCAAGAATTTCTGAGGCTCACTAGTTGGTTTGGTACAAGTCTTTTAAGAAAAAAGTTAGCAGTATTTGATGCAAGCATCAGCAAACAGCATAAGATGGGCAGATTTTAGATTTACTCCAGAAGGGTAAATATCATCTTTTCAAAATGAGGGGTGGGATCGTGAAGTTTGTTTTTCTGATTGTTGTTTGTTTCTTTTAAGATGGAACTTACCTTTTTCAACTGTGCTTCCAACTTACTACACTCTTCTTTCTTTTGTTCTATGGCTATTTCTAAAGACTTAAGTTTGGAGTCTCTTTTCAGCCCTGCTGATGCCAATGAAGATGCATGTTCTTTGAGATCGATTAAACTAGACTGGAAAATGACCAAGAGTAAAAAGTTAATTCCTAGTCGCCATGACACTAACTTATTGCCAATTCAGTAATTACTTGGATCCTCTACCCCCTCCCCCAAAAAGCATTGACACAAAGATAAGCATTGATAGCAAAAGACACATTTTTAAGAATACATCCAATTGGAACCACAGGAGCTGGCAAGCAGTGAAACACAGAAACACTCATAATACAGATGACATTATATTCTGGAGGTACAATTACTTTGAAGTCTACTGTTCTGACAAATGAAAACAGGAGCCACAATGGAATATTTGAGCCTAGTGAGGCTTATGTAAAGGAAAAAAGTAGAGATAATGGCACACAACTATGCAAAAATCGAAGTAATATTTTATGTACAAAACTGAGGACTATGAAGAATGCTTAAGAAAACAGCAGTTCAGAAGCTGACCACAGATGTGGCAGAATTTCAGAATTTAAAATGATTCAAGAGTAATCCTAATGCACTTTCATCCTAATGACATTGACACAAGAAAATATGTTTTCCTGAAAAGACTGACCTCTTTCTCTGTCAGCTCAGCTTGTAAAGCATTAACTTTCTCCTTCAGGTCTTTGTTTTCTTTTTTATAAGATTCAATTTCTTCAAGTCTTTCTCTGTCATCTCGTTCCCTTTGCTCCTTCAAGCGCTCTATTATTCTTTCCTAACAAGGGAAAGAATTGAAAAATTAAAAGTTTGGAATCATTTTAAGCAGACAGAATAATATTTTTCTACATGAAATTGCACTCAGAAAAATCAACCTCGAGAAGCAGAAGACAACTGAGTTAATGTTATGCAAGTCAATGTAAGGTTTCCCCAATCTCAAAAGCATGACATCAAGGTTTTAAATACTTGATAAGAGTAACACAGTACAGAAACTTCTTCCAAGAGACAGGAAAAGTATGCTGATACAAGGTATGATATCCAAAGGGAGACTTGTCTCTATCTAAACAGTAACCCAACACACATTTCAAAACCCAATTACTTTAAAAAATATTTTCCTGACTTTCAATTACTATTATAAGGATTGCTGAAAATCACCAGTAAAGGACTGGTGATGAATTCAAAGGATGAAATGTAAAAAAGCAGATGCAGTAGTATGGTTTTGTTAAGCTCTGATTGCATTCTTCAAAAACACATTCTACCAATATGTGAAGGATGCAAACACTACTCAGAGAGACATACTTAGGGTAAAATAAAATGATGACTAGAATTGCATTTGAATGGGGAATAGGTCAATTCAAGCAGAGTGTCATGGGAACTATTAGTATTGCTTTGGAAGGGGAAGTCAGAGGAGCCATGGAAGCAACATTTACGAAAGTTAAACCTTATGAAATCATGAAATTATGAAAGTTAATCCTTAAATGGGACCAAACTGCATCCTGACTGATGAAGTTCAATATTACCAGAGGTGTACTCAGATAGAACCATTAGCATGCTCATGGATACTATTCTAAGTCTTTTCACACTTTTGCTTGACATCTCCAAGTAGGAGTTCAAGAGTGCAATCAATAATTAAAATACTATTTCATAGAACTGAACAAAACTGAGGGAAGCCTAATATTATTAGAAGGACAGAAAAATATTGTGCAAATTCCCTCTGTCTATGATTCCTTGTGCTGCCATATACACACACACACACCCCAGAGTCATATATACACACACTACATACACTTAGACAAAGTTTACCTTTGCCCATGTTAACATACCCTCAGTTGTGGTTGTTGTATATCAACAAACATTACAATGCAAGCAACATTTCAGCAGCCGTACAACCCATTCTGATTTGTAATAAACAGACATTATAATGAAAATATAAATCATTATGAAAGTGAGCTGAAGTAGAAACAGCACTTTTAAAAAGACAATCATGTTTATTCATTCATTTTCTCCATGCACTAGATATGATGTTCCTCCAAGCCCTAGAAGATATTTGGAAGATTGCTTCTGTGCTCTTTTTAATGCTTGAGGCATATTTTGCAAAAAGCCAACTGTCACCACTCATATGCATAAAAAAGAGACTAGACTCAAGGGTATGATTTTCATCCCAGCAGTCTCCAACCTTGGAGATATTCAAAACTCAGCTGGACCAGATTCTGAGCAAACCGCTCTAGATGACCCTGCTTTGACCAGCTAGGTTGAACTAAATGATCTCCAGAGGTCTTTTCCAGTCTTATTGGTTCTGTGGAATAGGCAGAGACATTTTCTAGGTTCTGTATCTCAAAGATTAGTTGTTTCTCTACCGCTCAATCTCTCCTCTCATTTTCACAATTCATCCATTTGTAACAGTGACCACATCAGCAACTCTGCTAAAAATTGTCTATTGCCTCTGCTTCTTGTCTGTCATGTCTATTCCCCTTTATGTTTTCTTACATAACATGAACTGTTAAGACCAAATATCAAAAGCAAATGTGGGGTATTCACATCTTCATAGATGCTTGCTATTTGACTAGCCTTACCAGGTGTGAAACTAAGCCTAAGTGCAAAACACATGATGTACTTCAAATATATTCCTTACAGAGCCATTTCACACATTTATGTTCCTCTCATAATTTATTTTTTCTTCCAGTTAAAACTTCCAACTGTAATCATTTGTTTCACCAAGTCAAAATTTTTAAAAACGCTTCACGCATGAAGAGTTTTGTAACATAATTATGTGTATTTTTAAAATTCATGTTAAATATGATTACAAGGTTTAAAATAATTATATGAAGATCTTTATCAAATAAGTAGTTATATTTAAGTTTGTAAATACCTGTATTTTGAATCTTTTAGACACTGGAAAATAATGAGCACTATACTGAATAATCTTGTAATAGAGAATGTAATAGAGAAGTACATAGAGCTACTTTTCACTTTGCATCAGGCATTCCCCTGATATCAGGGACTCCCTTTTCAATCTAGCTAACTAACCATACAAGTTACCAAATCAGCGTTACTGTGAGAATCTTCACTGAAAACAGCGTTGAGTACTCATAAAACTCACATCCCTACTCGTTTCTTTCAGAAAAAAATGCACATTGACAACAAACTACATTCCATTTAGCACACAGTAAACAAGACATGGTCAAAACTAAAGGCTCTCTGTTATGAAATCTGTTTCCAGGACAGTATTAACTGTCTCTGCACTGAGACCCATGGAAGTGCAGATGTACACGACTCCTGGCTTCTTTCAGCCCAACGGCAAAATCTCCTTTTGACTCACACTTGGCAGTATTTCAGGTAGAAATGTGTTCATACAGACTGAAGGTCTTTCAACAGCAATATTGTTGAGTATTACACAAACGACAAACTAGCAAATGTACTAAGCTTTTAAAAAAATTTACTATTAGCTGGCTTTTGCTATGTAGACTGTGCAAGAAAGGGGATGATATGGGATACTAAATAACTTCAAGTTTATTCTTAGTTACAAAGAACAAATTATTAATCCCTTCAAAATTAACATTAAAGTGACAGGCTATACTAAATGGAATAGTTTGATAACCATCCAGAATTCACCTAGTTACACTCACTGTTAGTTTTATACCTATTTTTTTTTTTCTCGAAGAAATTTACCTAAATGACTTTTTCTTCTTTTCTAAATTAAATATAACACTATTTCATCTTACTAATGAACTATATAAATTTCTTCTCCCTCAATCACAAAAGAAGACTAATTTATCTGTCAGCTGCGTAAGGCTAAATATCAAAAATGTGTTAAAAGGCCCTAATACACCATGTTTTACTCAATTAACAGCTAACTTGCAGAAATCCCAATGTGTTCTTTTTTCAGTCTTATTTGCATTGGCGAGCTTTCCTTATGCACTAATCTAGGACCTCACAGGTCTAATCTATTTCCACTTTATCACAGAAGCAGGAACTGAATTGCCAAAGCATATTGCTTTATTATCAGACATACTCAATTGCTTATCTGTTATATGCTGCTACAGTAGGACCAACTTTATAAATATCAGCTTCATGAAAGCAAGCTCTTGAGCTGCTTTGGGCCAGTCCAAGAGCTGAGATATTCTTTGAAAAGTTTCCTGTTAAAACATCAAGAAAGCTGATAGCACCCTTGCATATTCTGATGTTCAACTTTTATTTTTAATAAAAATAAACTTAATTTTTGTTTATTGCTATGTAATCTTTATTGTTGTTAAGAATTTTCAATGCTTATGAGTTGCCTCCAAACAGAGTTAAATAATTGGATGAATAACTTTTTCAGTTTAGTTCTAAAATGCACTAAAAAATGACCAAAGTTGTGATGATTCATTTCTGATATAATTTATAAATTACATCAACAATATTGCCAGAAAAATACAAAGATTAAAAGGAGTCTATTTCAGGAAATTTTGATGCTGTTTTATGGTGTCTACAGCAACTTCTTATTTAGCATTACCAAGGTACCTAATCACCAACCAATGTGATACAGCTGCAAAGTCGGTCTGACACAATTTTTAGAGCTGAGGGGCAGGGGGGGGAACCACACACAATGTCTTTCCATGGAGATCAGGTATTCCAGAATGAAAGCAGCATCCTTCCTTGACAAGTTCATAAATTTATGTTGATAAAAGTACTTATATTGATACACTTGTTAATAAGAAACTATAATTAAGGGGGTTTGGGTTGCCTTATCTGGATAAAAATCTGATCCGTATTTCTGCCAGTATTTGCAGTGGAATATGTTAACTCAGTAAAGTCCATAGGTCTTAGGTACGCTACTGCAGGCAGGAATAGGAATAGGGATAAGAAAAGTTACTCACGGAGAGCAGCTCGGATGAATTGGACGGCTGGACACAAATAGGAATGAGACATATGTAAACATATCTGTCAAGGTATTTAGCTGCCAGAAGAAACAAGAAAGCTAGACATAATCATTCATCTGGAACTTCTAGAAGATGCCAACTGGCTTCTTTCAATGTGTATAATGCTCTAAGATCAAGTACCCTGTTTCTCAAAAGCTCATATTAATTCTAACCCTGCAATGTTGCTGCTTTTTTTTTTTTAACATAATATATTAATCCTTCCCTCAACTGTAAAGATTTCCCAATAGCACACAGTGACTAGTCACACATTAAAAGTTATTAACCTCATTTATAGTAAAAGGCTATTTAATAATTCTGTGTATCTTTTCCTTAGATTAACAAAGTAGCATTTCTAACTATAGGAGGGTAAATATACCACTAACATATAGAGCACTTCACTTTAAATACTGCCACCTAACTTTATTAGTAACAATCTTTCAGCAAGTGATTGAAACAGTCACCAGAAACCACAGCCCAACTCAGCTTCATGCCTCTTCTCAAAAGCACTGCCTTACAAAAGATACTATCGCCTTCATCAAATGCAAAAGGACAGGAATCCCTGTGGCAGAGACAAGCAGCCCATGGTATTCATTGTGTACGAGTCTTGGAGTAGCCTGAAAACACTGCAGGAAAGATGCTGTTCTCAGCTGACTGTATGGAAGCAAAGCGTCTACTTTGTACAGAGTTCAGCCTCAGGGATCAGATCCTGTGTGAGTTCTAATCAATTCCACTTGGAAAAACCACTAATCACACTGATTCTCTTAAAAAGTGTCTGCTCATATTTATCCATGCAGTTCCAAATGAAGTAGACAACTGCAAAACTACATTTCAGAAAAGGATTTATGTTTACCAAAGTTTTTCAAAACATTTAAACTAGTATCATTTCTCAGACTTGTAGTCTTTACTATTGCAATTAAATAAAGCTTGACACCAAATATCCATACCATCAGGGACTCTAGTTTTGTCACATTTCAACTTACCATATATAAAAAGAAATTCTATAGCACAATTTTTACACTAACTCTGGAACAAATTCTCACTATGATATTCAGAAATCATGCATCCCGAGTTGAGCAAAATTTTACCATTTGTGTCTGACAATAATAGAAGATTTTATTTTCAGATACATACAAAACTTCTTCAAAGTTATAAAAACTTTTACATTTATTTATTAGTTTACATTTATTTCAAGATTTAGCAATTTTAGAATGGTCCTGGTACAAAAATTACTTGAAAACAACTAATTGCCAGTCATTAATTTGGGTTAAGCTTTAACCCAGTACTTCTTAATTGACTGTATTTCTGTAAGTGAGAAGAGGACAACACATGATCTATTCAATATCTCTACACTAGCTGCTTCTACTATGGCAAACTATCATTAATTTAAAATATTCAACAGAGAAATAACAATATAATTGAAGACAGAATGCAATTTAGCAAATTACCCCATCTAAGAAGTGTAAGTGCATTTTCTCTCAGGTGCTGTGGATATAGCTGAGAGCGACTGGGATACAAGATTTCTCTGGGTTTTGGCAATGTACTTCATGCTCAGTTGCACAGGAGAACTGGCAAGTTTACAGTGTAACACTCACTCTACTTTCTCCATTGACAACAGTAGCATGATGGTTAAAAGACTGTTTTAAACTCTCAGAGGCCTCTATGGGCATATTGGGAAAGTGACAACACAGACTAAGGCAGAAAAGATAGTTTACAATAAAATAAAATAAATAAAAATAAACCCAAACCACAGATTAAAAAGTACTTAATGTAATTTTTTAATAATATGCTGTGAGATTGGTGAACACTGTCTAGATCAGCAGAGAAGGATGAACTAAATGCCTGTAACTTTCTTTACTTCATAAATGCTGTAAGCTTATCCATATGAAGCCACAGAAGTAACAGCAATGCCAAATGTTTTCATGGTTGTTGGCCAAGCAAATGTTAGTAAGGCGATTAAACATATGAGGAAATAAAAAATGCAACATTAGCATTTTAGGTGTTTGTGCCAACACCACAGTGGCATTTTAAAGTCATATACAGTCATAAATACCTTCATAGGATTACATGCTGCAGAATGGCACATAATACTTTAATTAGTTGAGCTCACCTGTGAACATTTAAGTGATATATATTAAGATCTGTGAGCTGCAGAAAAAGTGGATATTCGTCCTAATTTTTTTGGCACATAAATTCTGCTTGGGTTACCTTGTATTCAAAGTTAACTGGAAGAAAAACCGTGACCTCACTGAAACTAGTAGGAATGCTGCCATAAATTTAAACAGCCCAGATTTATCCTTTCTGTTAGATATTTTTGAATTGAAGGCATGCGTGTTTCAAAGAAGAAAAAAAGGCAATTCTCCATTTTTTATGAAACACAGTCTTTCTTATAAATTATGTGTAGGAAACCAGTTGTGCAAACAGCAAGCCAAGGTAACCGTTGCTACAGTCACCTCTTGTTGCTTCTTCCATTACACTCAGCGTAACAGACAAAAGAACAGGATAATCAAGATCACAAAGCCATAAAAATATCCAGACCTCTACCTTCTACAAGTCAGGTGTCCGTGCCTTAGCAGTTCTTTCAGAGAATAACTACTCATCTCATTGACTAAGTTAAAAATCTTCGCATGTCCTGGGCCAGTTATTCCTCCTTTTAAAAGGACATCCTTCTTTACCTCAGAGTCCTGTTTCAGCTCATCAGCCGGGAATCACTCCTTGCTCAACCAACCAGGACAAAGCCACGTGCTTTCCTGACAAGGCCCATAGGCTTTGTTACATGTGCCAGACCAACTTAAAAAGCCATTTTCTGGACACACTTCACCCACAAGAGCAGACATAATGCTGTTCCATAAGAACACGTTACCTTTTCTGATAGAGCTTCTTCTAAAGTTGCTAGTGCTGTGTCTGTGTTACTAGAATCCGTCTGCAATGACTTCACTCTGTCTTTCAGATTAGTTAGTTGTTTATCTTTGTCCCTAAGTTGCTCCTGCAGATTTTCAATCTGAAAATAAAAACAGTTGATAATATTCATCAACCTTGTCTGAACAGTCAAAGAGGGACTTCAGTGCTAGGATCAATTGAATATATACATATCAGATGTGATACATATGCCTCAGTACATTGCCAAGTTTTCACATGGTATTGTACCAACAGTTTTTAACTTTTGTGCTTTGAATTTTGTTTTCCTTTGCTAAAAAGTATCATTTTCTAATAAATTACAGGAGAAAAATCTCAGTTCAGGCAGGTATTCTATTATTTAAATATTTTCTGATATTAATCACTTTAACATACTGCATTATCTCAGTAATTCAAAGTAGATGCGGAATAACCCTTTTAGATTACACTAGTTGCAATAATGAGGACAAAGAAAGGGAGATGCCAAGAAAGTTCAGTGACCCATAAACTGAGGAAGAAGAATGATGAAAAAGTACCTATCTAAAAATCTCTTTTTCCATGATGCCCTGCTGTAAAGGAAACTCACCTGGACAGAGGTCAAACAAACAAAAAAAAAAAAAAAAAAAAAAAAAAAAAAAAAAACAAAACCCAATGACACAGAAGCCGCTTCCATTCACTTTCTTCATCTCCATGAACATTCAAGGTATGTGACTGCATTTTGGCTATTAAAGCATCTTTAAACAGGTCTAATTTTTCTAATTTTTCCTCTAGCAACTATTCAAACATACTGCTAAGGTATCTATAAACACACTGGTTTGCTAAACAGGTAATGTTTTAGAGTGGTTAAGTCAGAAAGGTTTTGCACAAAAAATTGTCAGCAGGATCATGTTGATTTTGGAAGCAAATCTGAATCGAAGAACTCAGCTTCTGATTGTCATAGCAATCACCTTCCGTGGCTGGAATGCACAACGACCCCCCAGGCACAGTGCCCATAGGACCTGGTTATGTTGTAGGTGTAAAATTATATTGTCTGTCATAAGAATCAATCTCCCTTCATCCTACATTCACAGTGCCACTCACTACTATGCCACTGGCATGAAACCAAAATGTCTTACATAATACTTAGCACAAATAAATAGTAACAAGAAAATTAACTAGTCTGTTATTTTAGTATGCCACTTAATATAATATGACAAAATATGCCTAAATCCATACGGTATAATTTGTTCAAAACTGGTTTTAAATATGCTGTTAAAATTATAACAAATTATTACTGTCAACAGAGGTTCAAATTCTTACTTTCATCAGTGATTTTACACTCTGGATCACATTCTGTTGCTACTGAAATGGAGTTTTACTGTTGATTTCCTCATGTAACAATTTTTCTCATGGCCAATACCATTTCCATTTAAACCAACTCAGATTTTAACAGAAACAAGATCCTTTATAAGTACTGTTAAACTGTATTTAGTGATTCTTTTACAAACCCAAAGCTATGCAGCTCTGCATAAAGTGTATCACTATAATCAAACATAATTTAATATGGGGTATATTTTGGTAAAAATTCTCCTCCTACTACATCATGAAGATGTAGGAAAAAACACTGAAGTTTTGACATCATATGTATCTATAATTAACAAATCATAAAATCCACATTACAGCTGTGTACACTGTATAAAGTTCATTTAAATAAATTTAAATTTTTAAATAACTTAAATAAAACTTAAAAGTAAAATAAAATTTGAAAGTAAATTTGGTGGAGCATATTCCAATTAGGAATTCTTTATAACAGTATGGCAAGTACAAGCATTTTATCTTTTTTTCTAATCATAATTTTATATGTCAGATTACTGCTATGGGACAAAGAATATACTCTATAAATGATAAAATACTAAGGTCCATATACAGTAAATGTTTTCGGGAAGACCTGACAGAATACTTCACTCTTGTAAATGACCTCACATAATATTTTTCTTTGTGTGTGTATTTTATACAGATACAGAAACAAGACATGTGTGTTAATGAGTTAAGAACCATTTATTTAATGGCATGTGTATTAGTTGCATCTAAAATTACATTAACTGGCATTCAGAGGACTGCACACTATGTTTCTTTACTTTCATCAAGTATTAACGATTCCAACAACTACCTTATGACACCCTGTGGAGTACTTAAGCAATTGCACATTTCAGCTTCACCAAAATAAATTCTCCAGCAAAAAGGAAATAAAACAGGAGACTGAATATTGATTACATGTTCTTTGAAACAAAGTTAAGATCTGGTCCTTTATTATCATCAGCTTGACCTACCAATTCTAGGCACCCTAAATTAAAGTACTTATTTCCTATGCACAGCGCTTATCTGAATTCCACAGCATTTACACGATTTCCTTCCTCTTAAAACTAATTTAAAATATGATCCAACCCTTAACCAAGAAAACATGTTCTAAAATTATTCAGCATTTACAAAATTCTTTCCTCAGAGGTAAAGAGAACAGGCAGCAAATTAAAAACATCCCCATTGAATCACAAGTCCTTTTAAATAAGTCATTCAATGCGTAGTCCATAGATAAAATACGAGGAGAGGATCTGATTATTCTTCTATTTGTGCTATATAAATCTGAAGGAAATACTTTGATGGGAACAGGACCACACTGGGTTATGTGAAAGCAGAATCAGTACTGCAGTGTATTTGTTTGTTTGTTGGGATGGGCACTGGATCAGCAAAAATCTACTTATTTAGACAAGATTTTTATGATCAGTTAATCCCAGAGTTCTCAAAAAAAAAAAAAAAGTTACAGGAGACAAAGAGATTGAGCAGTTTCACATGCTAAAATTACAGAATCGCTATGGTTGGAAAAGATCTTTAAGGTTGTTGAGTCCAACCATTATGTATCTCTACTAGCCCACTTCTACACCATATCCTTGAGCACCCTATCTAGACAGCTTTTAAATACATCCAGGGATGGTGATTCAACCACTTCCCTGGGAAGCCTGTTCCAGTTCTTAAATCTTGGACCATAAGATATGATTTATTCCTTCCTAGGTTTTTTAAACCCAGAAAGAAAAATAAAACTTCTGATAACCTCTCCCATTCTCCAAAATATGGGTACAGGCATATATGTAAAGATACAATTTTACTGCTGAATAATGACTTACTTTTGAGTATGCTTGAATTCAACTTATGACAGGGACTGTTAAGACTTTCTAAATCCTCAAGCACTTATATTTTTATCCAACAGAAATTAGTTACTGTGTAGTTTTGTCAACATGTACTTCATACCTCTGTGAACTGCTGTGTCCCTGAGCCATGAGCTGTGTGAAAGGAGGCTGCTCCATTCTATCTTTCAGAAAGTGTGTGTGTTACCACAGCTTAAGGTAGACTTTATTCCTTTATAAAAGCCAATACCTTTACAGATAAACGTCTTTCCTATGAAGCATCCTGTCAATAAAGTGACAAGATTAGCACTTGCAGCTTCTCGTGACCATGTCAGGAATGCTTCAAGAAAAATTCTACTAAACAATTTCCCAAGTACTGTTACATTCTACTTTAAACAGTTAAAGGAATTACAAGAAAGAAATTTAATCAACAACAGCATTCATCGAACATGAGCATTGACTATGAGTACTTTAAATATTAGTATTCATTCTCAGACCTCTGCTGTTGCCTCTGATACAAATAAGATGAAAAAATGTAACTATTAACCAAAACAAACAAACAAAAAAAGGTATAGTTCAAATTCAAATACTCTGTCTATCTGCACACAATTTATTCTCATTAGTAGGACTCATGATAAAAGTTCTGTCTTATGTGGCCCTTTTCAGAAACATCTCAGCATATCCCAGAACATGAAATCAGACTTGCTAGTGACTCAGTAAAACACATGTATCTAGAGATGGCCTAATTTCTCTGTTCATTTAACGTGTGTCTGTGTGCATGCATAATTTGTAAAACAATGACCAGAAAAAAAAATATTTTTTCCCTGCCATGAACTGTAAAAATATTACTACCTGAAAGCTCAACATACAGAGGTATAGATTTTGGAAAGCACTACAGATATTTAGCTAGAAATTTTTTACCAAATTATGTACAGTTATTAAATATCAAGCCAGTCAAGGTATTTTAAAAATAAAAGGCTTTACACCAGCTATTTGAAGGTTCAGCCTCTGGGGCAGAGAGGGAAGCTATGGCTCCATAGCTTCCACTAACATGCACAATATGATGTAAATACATTTTTCAGTTTAAGTATGATCTCAATTAACAAAATGAGCTAATTGAAGGCAAGCTTCTGCTTCAACAGTCTGACATTGCATTATTATCTTTTATTTTGAAGGAGACTAGCCCCAAAAGCACTTCATCATTCAGTATCACTAACTCACACTTTGTTTTAACTTCCTTTTACATAAGTAGATAGAGAAGCATTAATTTGGCAATTCTTTTCAAAAGTCAAAATACCTATGCATTTGGATTCTAAAAATTTAAACAAATGCTATGTTGAAAAATTATACTGTCACATAAACCTCTTCATTGTATAATGGAGGTTTGCTGCTTGCAACTAAATAGATCTATTAAAGTATAATATTTGCACTAATTTTGGCTATACAAAAGTAATTTGTAAAAAGCTTGCTAATCTTATCATGACATGATAAAATACCTTTGGATTTCATAAGCAGTTCCAATAGCTATCAAAACACTTTACTGTCTCTGAATAGAATAAAGTTTCTTACCCATAGTTGCCCATTGTAGAAAATTTTCTCAATTTAAAATAATTCCAGGGCACATTTCTGTTCCTACCTTCCAAATAAAGATTTTTCAAATTGGAGTAATATGGAAGTATTGTACTTACTTCAGATTACAAAATACCTCATGGCTCAAGAGTATCTTTTAGCTTTATATTCTTTCATTATTTTGCCCCACAACTTTCATAAGTATCAGAGATTATAGGTGGCCCAATGAATACGAGCAGCTCAATCCTACACTGTCAATATTGTGGAGCCAGTAAATGTATTAGTAAACCTGTCCATAAATTTTTCACAACCCTTTAGGATACGTAAAACAGTTCCAAAGATGGATATGTTGTGTGCCCAATGATAAAGCAGTCTCCAA